TTTAAAAAGGGAACAATTCCCCCCCCCCCCCCCAGTCTCCTCTTCTCCAAACTAAACATTCCCAGGGCCCTCAGCCTTTCCTCGTAGGGCTCAGTCTCCAGACCCCTGATCATCCTCGTCGCTCTCTTCTGCACCCTCTCGATTTCGTCCACATCCCTTTTTGAAGTGAGGCCTCCAGAACTGCACATGATACTCCAGGTGCGGCCTGACCAAGGCAGTACACAGAGGGGCAATGACCTCCTGCGATTTCGATGCTGTGGCCCTTTTAATACAACGCAAGACTGAATCTGCCTTCTCTGCCACCGCATCACACTGACTGCTCATATTCAGTTTACAGTCCACTCTTACCCCAAGATCTCTTTCGCATACACTACTCCCCAGAAACAGATCCCCCATCCGGTATTGGTGCGTGACATTTTTGTGGCCCAGATGTCATACTGTGCATTTATGTTTGTATTACTTACCATATAATGACTTACCTTCTAATGAAAGCTGGGAAACAGAACGTTGATGCACTGGACTGTTGTAATGCCGTAGCTAGCGATCTAGCTATGAACCAGTTTTTTCCCCCCAAGAGCCTCAAAAGGCCTGCTGTAGGAATAGGGGAATGATGGCCGTGGGACTGAGGTTAGGAAAATAGCACCAGCGGGGGCAGGAGCTGCAAAGGACTCTGCACCTTCCCATCCACACATCTTCTAAAGGCACTTCAACCACTGTTGTTTCAAAAAGGCTGTGTCGAACCCAGTTTGGAAAAGTTTGCAGAAGCTGGACGAATAGAGGACGATATTTCCTGTGTTCTTTTAAATTGTGCATTTTATACTAAGATTTGAGGAAAATTTCTGGACACCCTTCTTTTTACATGGCATGGTCTTCCTGAGAGTATCAGGGTCCAGTTGCTAGTCTCTGGGCAAAACGCTTCTATAACTTTTAATGTTGCTTGTTTTCTTCAATCTGTAATTCGAACCAGGGAAACTATTCATTGATCAGTTCTTTTTTGTTAGCTGTTCGACAGCCATACCTTTATTTTATTTTATTATATTTATACCCCGCCCTCCCCGCGAACGTATTCCTAAATTTTAATGTTATCTTATCTTATACATGCCAATAAAGGTTGTCTGTCTGTCTAGAGGACGATGTCATGTGGAGCCTCTTGAAACCAGGGCTGCAGTACGGAGGCCACGGGGGGACAAAATAAGTGGGAAAAGCTTAGGTAAAAGGTAAAGGTTCCCTTGCTTGAAAGCCAGTCGAGTCTGACTCTAGGGTTGTGGTGCTCATCTCCGGTTCCAAGCCGAAGAGCCAGTGCTGTCAGACGACGTTTCCGTGGTCATGTGGCCGGCATGACTAAACTCCAAGGCGCACGGAACGCTGTTACCTTCCCACTGAAGTGGTTACCTCTTTATCTACTTGCAATTTCTTGCTTTCAAACTGCTAGTTTGGCAGGAGCTGGAACGAGAGACGGGAGCTCACTCCGTCATGCGGCACACTCGGGTCTCGAACTGCTGAACTCCCGACCTTCCACAGCCTGCAGTTCAGCGTCTTTACCACTTGAGCCACCGCAGCTCCTGGGAAAAGCTTAGCTTGCCTTTTAATGGGCGCCAGTTCTATGTTTAAAACAATTCTGCCCTGTGGTACCCTTATGCTCTGGCCTTCTGCACGTCTCTTGAGCAACGGAACGGCAACTCTTGTTTCTTTCCACACACAGGGAACCTTTACTGTTGCGTACTGCAGACCTTGAGGATCCGGATGTGACGCTCACTTTCCCATCCAGCGGTGAGTTTTGCAGTGGTTGCACGAGAGAAGGAATATTTTTTTGGCACGGTGTCAGGACGGCTATATTGTGAAAGCAAAGGAAATTAACTCTGGCCTTTGAAATCACCGTTTGCACAATGCCCAAAGTATTTGGCAACTTGCGTTCCTCACTCCCACCCCACCCTGCTCACCACCTGTTCTGGAGGCCCTGAGAACGAGATCTTCCAGTGGGATTTCCCACCGGGCTAGCCAGACCTTGTCAGATCTCGGAAGCTAAGCAGGGTCGGCCTTGGTTAATACTTGGATGGGAGACCGTCAAGGAAGTCCAGGGTTGCTATGCGGAGGCAGGCCAGGGCAGAACCACCTCTGTGTGTCTCTTGGCCTTGAAAAACCTATGATGAGTCACCATAAATCAGCTCTGACTTCACTGCGTTTTCTACCACAGTTTGGTATAGTGGTTAGGAGTGTGGACTGTAATCTGGGAGAACCGGGTTTGATTCCCCACTCCTCCACATGCAGCTGCTGGTGTGACCTTGGGCCAGTCCTAAGCTCTTTCAGAGCTGTTCTCTCAAGGGCAGTTATGGAAAGAGCTCTCTCAGCCCCACCTACCTCACAGGGTGTCTGTTGTGGGGAGGGGGAAGGGAAAGGGGATTGTAAGCCACTCTGGGACTCTTTTGGGTAGTGAATGGCGGGGTATAAATCCAATCTCCTCCTCCTCCCTTCCTTCTTCGTTCTTCTCTAACCTGGGTGCCCCAGGCTAGCCCGATCTCATCCGATCTCAGAAGCTATGCAGCCCTGGTTAGTATTTGGATGAGAGACCACCAAGGAAGCCCCCGGTTGCTACCCAGAGGCAAGCGAAGGCAAACCACTTCTGTTTGAAATTGCTGAGCGGTCGGGTTAGAACGGATAAGAGGCAGTACTTCTTCACCCAAAGAGTGATTAACACATGGAATTCACTGCCACAGGAAGTGGTGGCGGCTACAAGCATGGACGGCTTCAAAAGGGAATTAGATAAGCATATGGAGCAGAGGTCCATCAGTGGCTATTAGCCACAAGGCATAGATAGGGGCTCTGGGGCAAGTGATGCTCTGTCTTCTTGGTGCTTGGGGGGGGGTCACCAGTGGGAGGGCTTCTAATGTCTTGGCCCCACTGCTGGACCTCCTGATGGCACCTGGTATTTCTGGCCACTGTGTGACACAGAGTGTTGGACTGGATGGGCCTTTGGCCTGATCCAACATTGGTGTCTCTTATGTTCTTATGTTTGTCCCTTGCCTTCAAACCCCCATGAGGGGGCACCGACAGTCACCTGTGACTTGACAGTGCTTTCCCTTGACGCTCCTCAGAGATTCATGGGAATTCCTGGTCAAGGGGAACAAGTGCAAAACTCTTTGAAAACTTTGTTAAACGTTCTCGTTCAATGAAGGCTTGAGTTCAGTTTTTAAGTTGTCCTTTTCTTATCAAATGTATCTAGCGACTCATACGATCTTCACTTCCACTCCTCGGTACACCACTTCGAAGAGACGATCTCCAGAGAGGTTCAAAGAGAGGTCTCCTGTACATACATTGTTAACAGCTCCGCTGGATGACCTGAAGGCAGTTTCTGGGCCCTCTTTGGAACGTCGTTCCTCTCCGAAGAAGAGCAGCTCCCCGGAAGCCTCAACCACCTGTAGAGGTAGGCGGCTTTTCCTAGACAGGCCATGATTAGAGCACCATCCAGGGGTCATTTCGTAGAAAAAGAGGTGCAGGAGCTCATTCGCACAACTCATTAGCATAACTCATTTGCATATGCCACACCCCCTGGCATCACCGGAAGTGTGTCAGAAGGCAACACCCACCGCTCAGGCTCCACTGGACTCTTTTGGATTGCTAGCTATTGGGGGGGGGGGGGAGAACGTGCAGATCTGTCCTCCCAGAGGAGGGAGAGCTTGTACCTGAATAAAACCTGGTCTTAAAGGTGCCACTGGACTGTTTTGGACTGGGGGGCCGGGGGGGGGGGCTCTGCAGCTTAGCTGGCTGCTTCTTGCTCTGACTGAGGGCTGCTGGGAGCAGGGGGTGGGGCTTGTTGCATGTGCCCGCCCCCTGGGCTCTTTACTGCCGGAGCTCCGCTCCTGTGCACTCCTGCAGGAAATGACCCTTGAGAGCACCCATACGCCTCTGGGACAATGGCAGGTCTAGGCCTCTCCATATGACCTTCCCAGGCCACTGCGGCTGCAAGGAAGAGAGAAGCCATGCCAATTTCCAACTGGGCCAGCCCTTGGTTGGATTATAAAGAGAAAGTAACAACTGGGCCAGCCCTTGGTTGGGTGGCCGTGGGAATCCTCTGTCATGTGCAGCAGGGGCGTAGCCAGAAAATTTTCGGTGGTGGGGCGTTGGGAAATCTGGAGGGAGGAGAGATCCCTCAGGCAGGCAGGTGAAGAAGAGAAGAGCCTTTCCTCACCTGCCGTCTGCACTCGTTCACTTTGGCCGCTACAGTAGAAGGAGAGCCGGCCGGCTGGTGTGATTGATACTTGGCAAGTATGCGCTCTCTGCATGATTTCAGGGAGGCCTGCCTGCCTCATCTGCCCACTCGCTCGGCCTGGGAGTGGGCGACCCAGTGGGCCAGCATGATTAATATTTGGGGAATATATAGAATCACACAAAAGCTTATACCCGGAATCAAACTTTGCTGGTCTTAAAGGTGCCACTGGACTCAGCCTTTGTTCTAAGGCAACTATAGGTTTGGTCTGCATGCCATTTGTATTGATGCAAATATAACATCAGTATTGTCTTCTCTCCCTCAAAAACCACCTCTTGCGTTTTGTCTTTATACAGATACCTCCTTCACTGCCAGAGTGGGTAAGTATCATTTGACTTTTTTGAACGTAGGCCTTAGAGTATGCTTGCAAACATCAAGCCGTGTTTGTCTGAATTTGCAAAATCTGCTCCTGTTGCTGAAATTCAGGCGTCCGAATGTGGGCAGTCTCCCCGTCTGTCCGGTGCGCCCCCGCTTAGACACTCCGCTCTGCCCTCACCTCACGACGGTTCAATTGACTGCTTTGTCCACAGCCATGCAGGCAGTGGAAGTCGGTGGAGTCACATGCCGGAATTTACAGGACAAAGTGGAGAGTCTGCAAAACCTGGTGGAGACGCTACATTTGGAAAACCAAGGTGTGCTGCCTCAAAGCGCCAGCAACTGAAGAGGCCCTGGATCTTCCCGGGTTTTCATGCATGTCGCTGTCTTCCTAGAAGTAGCTTTCCACCTAGCGGATTCCCTCTTTAGCTGTATGCATGCATGTTGAAAAGGGGTTGGACCCAGTGTCCCCTCTAAGCTGAGTTAGTGTGAGCTAGCTCACAGTTTTTTTAGCCTCTGGCTCACAGATTTTTGCCTTTGCTCAGGACGGGATGGCTCCAGAGCAAACTAACATATGCGGTGGCCCAATCGCTCGCTCACAACTTTAATGCCGGTAGCTCACCAAGTAGAGTTTTTGCTCCCAAGACGCCACATCTTAGAGGGAGCCTTGGTTGGACCCGTTCTGCTTTTTCACAGACCCGATCAGCTTCTTTACAGGGGCATATTTTGGTGGGGAGGTAATCATTTTGAAAATTTTATGTGCATGCTCTTAAACAAGCCGCCCGGAGCAAGCGTGGACTGGGAAGCAAAAACGGCCCCCGAGCAAGCCAGGCTGAGCGGCCACTGCAGCGCTGCAAGACTGTGCCGCGTGGTCTAATCGGTGGCACCCAGCCATCAGCCGTGGTGCGTCCACCGTGTCCTCCTGCAAGCTGGCAGCAGTGCAGGAGGAGATCGTGGGCGGGCCGACAACCGTTACCATTGCCGATGGAGGGCCTGAGCAAAGTGGCCCCTTAGGTTTCTGCAGAGTTCCTGGGGCTCAGTGAGAGCCAGTTTGGTGTAGTGGTTAGGAGCGCAGACTCTAATCTGGGAGAACCAGGTTTGATTCCCCACTCCTCCCCACGCAGCTGCTGGTGTGACCTTGGGTCAGTCACAAGTTCTCTCAGAGCTGCTCTCTCAAGGGCACTTCTCAAGAGAGCTCTCTCAGCCCCAGACAATGCGCCCTCTAAGCTGTGGCGTCCTGTGAGCAAAAATTCTACTTTGTGAGCTACTGGCATTAAAGTTGTGAGCCAGCAATTTGGCTGCTGCATAGATTATTCATTCATTCACTCATTCATTCATTCATTCGATTTGTCCCCCGCCCTCCCCGCCGAGGCGGGCTCAGGGTGGCTTACATAAAATAACAATAAATAAAACAGCAATATAAATAGCAACATAAAGCACACAACATGGTGTTCCTCTGGAGCCCTCCTTCCTGAGCTAAGACAAAAATGTGTGAGCTGGAGGCTAAAAAACTGTGAGCTGGCTCACACTGACTCTGCTTAGAGGGAACACTGCTCACAGGGTGTCTGTGACGGGGAGGGGAAGGGAAAGGAGATTGTAAGCCGCTCTGAGACTCTTCAGGTAATGAAGGGAGGGGCATAAATGCAATCTCTTCCTCCTCCTCCTCCTCCTCCTACTGGCACTCCAGACCAGTGGCCCATCGTGAAATTTCCCTGGAAGTTAAATGGCCGGTCCATCCCTGGTTTGGAGAGGGGAAGTGTTGTCCCAGGAGCTGCCCTCCCCAGAGGAGGCAGAAGTCCTTCCTTGCTACAGAAAGGCGCATGCAGCCGTCGCAACAAACCAAAAAACCAACAAGGCTTCCCACGTGCCTTGCAATAAGGCACCCACACTTCAAAACACAGTTTTTTTGGCCTGGCTCCTGTGCACTTCCCCTCTCCGCCATTTGGGCCTTTCAGCCGTGGGGAAAGAACACCGCGAGACTCTCAGAACGGGAGCCCGGTTGGCTGAGCAGAGGGCCTTCCCCAGGTAAGGAACAGTGCTGTGGAGAAGGGGTTTGGGAAGGAAGCCTTGAAGAGCCAGAGACCAGCCTTAGTTTTTGCCCTTCGAAGAGCGTGGCTCAGTGGCAGAGCATCTTCTCCGCAAGTAGAAGGCCCCAGGTTCAATCCCCGGCATCTCCAGTTGGGTGGTGCTCAGTGATGTGAAAGAACTCAGCCCAAGACCCTGGAGAGCTGCTGCCAGTCTGAGTAGACAGTACCGACCTTGATGGCCCTGAACAGTCTGATTCAGTATTAAGGCAACGTCATGCGTTCAAGACACACACGCTGCAGCAGTTGCACAGGGCAAAGGGAGGGATACATTTCCGTCCCATCACCAAAGGCAAGGAGTGACTGCAGCTCAGCTGAGGATATGCCAAAGAACAATAAAGGTGGGTCCGAGAGAGCTCTGAGAGAACTGGTCTTGAGAGAACAGCTCTGAGAGAACTGGGACTGGCCCAAGGTCACACCAGCAGCTGCATGTGGAGGAATGGCAAGTCAAACTGGTTCTCCCAGATTAGAGTCTGCACGCCTAACCCACTGCACCAAACTGGCTCTCAACTTTCAACTCAATTCAAATTGTAGACAAAGGTTATCAAAATGTAATATAGAGGACGCGGTCCAGTGCAATTCAAATACCGTGATGAAATTAGACATAGAAAATGTTGTACATCCAAAAGACACTGATATTTTAAGGAATCCAGGACCACAGCCGATTTCCTACCAACTCATACACTAGAACTCTAACAACACAGAAGACAGACTTCAACATTTAAATAGTCCCAAAGGAGGGTTTAAGAATTCACAGGAGTCTGGTGGATAAACTATATGTAGGTTCCTCCAGAGTTCTTTACACGTGAGCTAGCTTATACCAAACCGGATTTGGCCCAAGGCTTCTTCACAAAAACAGAACCCTGAGTTTTCTTTAAGTAATAAACATATAGAATTTTTACAAGACTCAAAGATGATGGATGGAACCCACAAGTCTTGTAAAAATTCTGTATGTTTATTATTTCTAAAAGACTTGGGGTCCCATCTTTGTGAAGAAGCCTTGGGCGAAACCTGACTTGGTTTAAGGTAGCTCACCATAAATATTGGAGGAACCTACATATAGTTTATCCACCAGACTCCTGTGAATTCTTAAACCCTCCTTTGGGACTATCTAAATTTTGAAAACTGTGTTCTATGTTATTAGAGTTCTGGGGTGTGAGTTGGTAAGAAATCGGCTGTGGTCCTGGATTTCTTAAAATATCGGTGTCTTTTGGATGTACAACATGCAGGGCCGGCTCACTCACTAGGCGAACTAGGCGTTCGCCTAGGGCGGGCCAGCCCTTAGGGTGCCAAACTGCACCCGCCCCCCACCAAAAGCCCCCCCGCCAAAAGCCCCCAGCCCTAACCAAAAGCCCTAACCGGGTGACAGCCGCCACCTCTTTCTCCCCGAGTCTGGCAGGTGCGCCCAGAAGCGCTGACTGCGAGCACAGCGTCCTCTGCACCAACCCCCCCATTCTCCTCTCCCTGAGATCTGGAATGGCGCCGCCCTGCGAGAAGGAGAGGCAGGGGAGCGGGCCCGCGGACATGAAAGAGGCCTTGGGGGGGGGGGGGGGGGGGGAAGGAATCCC